AAAGGCCTTTTGAGTGACTGAGGGCTACAGTTGTGGCAGCTGTGCCTTAGAATCGGCCGGCGAGTCAGCTGAGGAAGGCCCCGTCTCCCCTGTCAGCGCGGACCCACCATTCAAAGTCGGCTCAACATGTGTCGGCACACTGCCCCATCATACACCCCGCCTGCCCACACCCCCTTCCTCCACTTCCTTCCCCGCAAACGTGCCTGACATTCTAGAGGAGCCAGCGTACATTCCTCGCATGCCTCCAATTGCATAAGGAAACAGTGGAGGAGCCGGCCAGACATGTCACAAGGACATTAGGACTGGCTTCCCCTTCCAGTGCGTGCATGTGCGTTTCAACGTGCGCCTCATTGTCCTTCCACCTGCTGCCGAGTGAGAATTAGGCCTCTTGTGGAGATTGCAGCCCGGGTGTTGAGCGGTGCTCTTGGCTGTGGGGGAATGAGAGGAGGGCTCAGGTGACCACAGTTAAGCTGTCTCACATGGGATGTGGGAGGTGTGGCCTTCACAGCCCCACCAGGGCTTCTTTTGCATTCCTTTAGCAGCTGCTGCAGCTCCATCTCAGCTTTCTGCGCAGTCTCCAGAAAGGTTGATTTTTGTTTTTTTGTTTTTTGTCCTCTAAACACACCCCCATCAGCCTGAACCCCAGGGTGAACGTTGAAAAGACCTACCAGATGAGGCTCTATAAATTGAATCAATTTAGAAAATACCACAATACCACTTCCTATTCATTAACCTCTGGTTCAACACTACTTGTGACAGGAAACTAATATCTCTCTCCACACTTTAGACCATCCATTTGATTCACAAACATCCTCAGTCCCCTCACATTTTTACCCCCCCCTCCCAACAGAAGCAGTGCTGGAGGCAGTGGATGGTGAAAAAAGGGACTTCCTGAGCTTTGGAGGAGCACGCTAACCCAGTTTGGCAGGCATTTAGTGTGACAGTAGCCGTGGTGGATGCCAATGGGACAGACACTGCGCAGCATCTCAATGAACAGAATTCACTGAGTCCACAGAGAGGGTTTATGGTCCTTCCAGCCATACCGTTCCCACCCCTGTTCTCCATCCAACCACAAAGGCATTCAGCCTTTTCATTTGGAAGATAATGGGGCAAAAGCCGGAAAGGGCCCCCATGTCTGACCACCATAAGTTGTAGTGATGGCTTTGTGGTAATGTCATGCATGTCCACTGGAGCAAAGTGTGCTGCTACAGGCCCCAAAATAACAGTTAAGCTCGTTAGAAGAAAATATGATAATATAAGCCTCTAAATAACTATCAGCACAACTCATGCGCACCACTCGATAAGGGACAAACTTTCTTTCCACAATAATGTTATTCCGTCTCAGCAGAAATTTACCTAAAAAAAAGCTCAACTGGAATATATCATTGTATCCTATAACTGCATAATCACACTTTTTTCTGATACAAGGCCAAAACCTGTTAGATGAGCAGCCATATCAAACTACGGGACTCAAAGGTACACTGAAAAAAAAACCTTATCAGATGTGTCAAAATGTTACAAAGTGAGCAGAAACACTAATTGGATGTATCATTGCATTTACCTGCATAAAACCGTAACAAGGAGCCAATTTCTGTGTTAAGTCCTTCCTCTTGAACTCTCCAAGGGTCCTTAAATCCAAGCTTAAAGAGAAAGTCATTCTGGATCTGCAAAGGCCTCTCATCTGGACTTAGCCTCCTCACGGCTTCACCGTGCAGCTGGACATACAGTGTAGGGGTGGCATCAGGAGAGCCTCCGTTGTAATGCGCCGTCAGCCCTGATTTTGTAGCATCTAGGTCTTGAGTGTCAGGTGTATTAACTACAGAATAGGGTCTGGACAAGGAGCCGGCACTACTGCTGGGAGGCAAGCTGCCCAAACTGTCTGAGCTGAGTCTGCTATCTGGCTCCATGTTGTTTGTCATGTCATTTAAGTGTCCCATGTTGCACTGCTGGTAGCTGGCAGCCACAGCGGCCAAGCCATTGGTGTGGTGTTGGGATATGGAATCCATGTCTGTACTTGACACAGGACAGTCGAGCTCCAGCTCATCGGAGGAGCTCCCATACATGTCCTGGCCCTCTGTGGCACTATCGAAGGAGGGACTGAGGATGGACGCCTCCGTTCCCAAAATCATGTCATCGCTGAGGGAGTCCCTGTGCTCACTGAGCCTGGCCCCAGAACTCAGGTCATCAAATGCACTGCTCTCCACATCTGAGCCAGAGTTTAATCCATAGCTGTCTATGCCATTCCGGTGCTCGGAATCATCATCGTTTGGGGTGTCCACGTTACAGTTTAGGTCTGACAGTGAGCCCGTTATATTGTCTTGGGACTCTGATTCGGGAGTGAAAAGTTTCCCGTCAACGTCCTGTTGCTTTTGTCTGTCGTCCCCGTTCTCCATGAGCAGCAGCCTCAACCTGTCACCCGGACGGCTCCTGGGCTCGGCAGATTCCAGGGAAGTCAGGTGGTTTCCTTCCAAATCCGAGTCTTCTTTCACTTTGCACGCTTGATCGTCGTATTCGTACTTCGCGTTGCAGTTGCCATTTTGGTCGGTCTTGGAGCCGTCTTTGCAGAAAATGCGCATGACGGAGCCGGACTTGGGGCTGAGTTTGCCCAGTCTGAGGGCCACCTCGCCGGCCGTGGTGTCCGCGGTGCAGAGCACCGGCCGGGGGTAGGAGGGCGTCAGCCTGTCGTGCACATGCACGCAGCCCCGGTGGAGGTCTGCCCTCACCCAGTCGCGGTCGGCCGGCTGCAGCTGCATGTTCTGCCGGTGCTTCAGCATGGTCTTTCTGTCCAGGCTCCGGGTGTGGAGGGACGCCGAGGACAGGGCCGAGCTCATCTTCCCGCCGCAGGCGGCGGGGACAGCCGCGCCGGCCGCGGCCGCGGCGGACAGGTTCCGCTTCAAGCGCCGCCGTCGCAACAGGAGAGAGCCGGAGTTGTTGCCCGAAGCCCGGCCATTGGACGCCAGGGCTCGGTTTTTCGCACCAGAACCGGAGACGCCGTTCCCGTTCTTCGCCTCGACGCGGGAAGGTGCCAACTGCCCACCGCCATCATCCGCCGGCGTCCCCCGGGCGACAGACAGTCCGCCGGGCTTCTTCATTAACTTGGTCGCGCCTCCGACCGACGCTCCATCGTCAGCGGCAGCCTGCACACTTTCCATCCCCGCCGCCAGTGAAAAGTCCCACTCTCTGAATAAATAACGGTGCGTAGTTGGTTATACCACAAGCCGCTACATTGAAAAGCCTTAAAACGTGTCCATCGTGATGAATGTCCGTGAACTGGGCGGCGTTGCCGAGTTATCCCTTTAGTAGTCATTCAACTCTTGCCTTTCTTTCCCTATCGAAGTGTCCTCCGCGGCTCCGAAAAAAAAAAAAACATTTTCCCTGATTAAAATTCGCTGGGAAGAGGCTGGGCGCTAAGACACAGATCAGGGCGGAGACGAGGCTGAGCTGCGCGTCCCATTTTGGACCAAAATACAGTGCTAGAATATGAAATGAACGTCGGCCGACCTCCTACGCAAATACTGACTAATATATATTCATGAGGAGGGCACAAGATGGGCTCGCTAACAACAACGCGGTGGATTGTGGGAGTCGTATTTTTCCTAGCAAGCACACTCCCCTTGTTGTCCGGTGAAAGACACTGCTTGAGAAATACATTTCCCAGCAACCTTTTCTCCGGTTTCGGTCGAGTGAGGCGGTGAACAAGGGGGAGGCGTAAACATAGCTCCTATAAAATGTTTGGTGACGGTGAAAGCCCACTTCTGTGTTCGCTAATGTTAACACAACTCACCGACCGAACGCTTGTACACCAACGGCACTAGCACAAGGCTCGAAACAATGTATGACTTAACAAGTGTCCACTCGAGTTTATGAGAAAACGTCGTCGTCATTTAGCATTCCGATTCCATGTACCCCGACCTTAATCAGTTCAATTCCGCAGCAGAGGGAAGTTTAACTTGGCGGTTAGTGCCATTACTTTAGACTAGCGGCGACGAAGGAAATCACTTCGACACCATCTCATCAGGACGCCATTTCACAAGGCCGCTCAAACCAGCTCAACGTACACTCAGATTCTATTGCGTCTTTTGCCATCTAGTGGCAGACACAATAAAATACAAGAAGCACAGAGGCGGGTCTAAAGCTCCAGTGTTGTTTTCTAAAACTAGATATATTAGTTGGTTGTGGTCTTTTATGTCACTAACAGACATAAACAGATCCTAAAAGTAATTTTTTTGCACTTATCTTTTCCACTTTTAAATCCAACTTGAATGAGTGATTATACATCTATGATTTTGTCAATATTTTAAGTGTAAGTGCATCTTTTGAGTCCGTTTTAAAAATCCCAGCATCCAAATGATACAATGAATTCTTTTCAGCTTGCTGTACTCTGTAATTAACTTGTTCCCGTTAGACTGTCAGGCTCAACAAATCCACATTTGCTGCCTGCAGAACAGATTTCACAAGCTGCTCCTATAATTCTCAGTGGGAAGGCAAAATTATCCTTTTTATTCAGCTGATTAAAAATAATAATTCTCTCAAGAATACAACACATTTATCTTGGAAACCTAGTTCAAAGTTTGTCCTGATATTTATCTAGATTTAGGTATGGGCCATTGTTCCAGGAGTTTATGGTACTGGATCTTATTTCTTCTGTTGAGCAGCATTTCTTTTTCACCCGTTTAGGCCGGGGCAGATGCTTTATTTGTGACTTTAGGTAAAGGTCCCCTTTCTTTGGACTTGGTTTCAGTGCCTATATTCCTCTGCTACAGGCTCTGGTGCCTCTTATTCCAGCTGTTTCATTGTCAGGATGAAATAGAGTTGATAACTTAACCTTAAAAAAGGGGTGCTTGTATTGATAGTGCATATGAATATCTGAATAGTTACAATTTGGGGAAAAATCTAATTAAGGGGACCAAAAAAATGCAAAGACCAAAAAATATGAATAAAAAAAAAAAAGAATAGAATGGAAGAAAAATCTCCAAAATAGAAAAATTCATACAATGTTAATGCATTCAGAAATTGGATTTAATAGCAATGATGTGTCCCTTACATGACATTTTGTATTTCATAAATGGGGAAATAAAGTGGGATCAATTTCAGCTGCTTCATCTTTTTGTGAAAGGAAACTAATTATTGCTGAATTCATGTTCCTTGATTCCAGCAAAATGTAAAAAACAAAAAAGAGCATCATGCTCAGTCTCTGGCTCAGGATCCTTGTTACAAGTTGAAAAATTGTATAAATTCATTCCTAACAGGTTCTATTTTACTGCACCTGTGATTGAAAAAAAGGGGAAATAAACCAAATAAAACAGTCGTGATGCATACATCCTGAATTGGTTGATTTTTAAACAAACACACAAATAGGGAAAAAATTAACAAAATACAAAAACTCATTAAAAAAAAAATCACCCAATGAAATTAGATTTCATTTTTCATAAATGGATCTGACAACAGAATGAGTGGTGGAATGACTTCCATGAGAAATCTTCAGGAAACAGTTAAATGATGAGAAAACGACACTCATTTTTCTTGCATGTATAAACTGCAGTGCAAACAAATTGTATGTTGACATTCCCTGATTTTACTGGGTCATCCACAATCAATTAAGATTTAAAAAGGGGACAACACAGACAAACATTAATTATAATAGACTGCCTTACCCCTATTACATTTCCTCATCTGACAAGAATTTCATTTGCAACTTCAAAAATAATACAGTAAAAATAAAAATCATCATTTAAAAAATCTGTGTACATAAAGCTTGAACTATGAGCACTGAAATACTGCTGTGGGATCAGCTTTCAGGTGATTACAACTCGGGTATCCAACAATTTATTTTACACATCCGGAACAAAACTCTAAATAGTGTGAAGTATTTAAGCAGTAAAATACTCAGAAATGCTGACTTAGAGAATGCACTAAAATCTGAGCCTATTGTTTAAAGTTGGGAACATCATATTCAACGAGTTTCATCAAATGTTGCCTGAATGTGTTGGTGAAATGGTTAAAGAGGCAGATGTTTAAGTGGCTCAGTCAAGAAAGAAAAACCTGAAGCAGTCCTCCAGAGCAATGCCTCTCTGAAATATCATTTAAAAAACGTAGAAGAAAACTTAAAACCCTAAAGTGCAGGCATTGTGTTTGTCTGCAAATAACGGGTATTGCTGTGTATAAAAGTAAAGTATATATTTCAATGCACACCAGAAACCAGAAGACTACTAAACACACTGCTGAAAACAAAATGCACAAGAAAAAGTGGCAAATCATCTCTCAATATTCTCTTTTAAAGTAATACAGTTCAAGCTCTGGAATGTGTAAAGACGTGGAAATTAAGTATTTATGACCCAAAAGTCCTCCCTTAAAATGAACTAAAATGGATTTACTTTATGAAACCAAACATTTTACACACTCTGGGTCCAGAATATTTCTAGTTTAAGAGTTGCATTTTTTTTTTCATATTGAATGCATAAAACTTTGACATGAATGGAACTTGGTTAAGTATGATTCATTCTTTTTAAATGAGACTTTCCTTTATCTGTATAAACAAAATGTACATTTTGAGAGAGTGCAGGTATTCCCAAACTCTCAATTTCACAGTTAGCAATTAGTTGTCAGCAGTGCTGGTACAGTTAGAATTGCACATAAGAGGAGAATCGAGACTACAAAAGTAGTGACACAAAAGAAAATCCGGGGAGTGCCAGTGTCCACAAAAAGCAAGAAGAAAAAAAATTATATATATATTGCACGATTCTAAATGTGGAGGCCACCCTCTCCCTGTCGTCACTGTTCAAGAGGTTACCAAAAATCCCAGCTTGTGCTGCAAAGATGGATCTTCTGCTGATATAATAAACTTAGAACATTCCTCTCTCAATTTTCTCGCAGGTTTTTCTAAAAAAGCTGGAGGAGTCCAGGGTGACACCATAACAAGGAGGGAGGAAAACGGGCCAACTGAGATAAGTCCTCTGGTGTTATCGATGAGCCAATACTGATTTTCTTCAAGTGTTGATAAAATGCAAACAAAGATCTTCCCGCTGTCCAATCACCACAGAACTGAACGCAGCCCTGAGAGCTCAGCAGACGGCTTTAAGAAAAGGTTGAGCCAATTCCTCACGGGGGCAAATGTTGATTAATTAAGAGTAATTTTGTGCTACAACGGTGGGTGGAGCGATGGGTGTCTGCGTCTTGTGGCGTAGTACTGACTCAGCTGTGTGGGTTCTGAAAAGGCATTTCAGAGGACATGGCCATATTGTAGAAATGGGCACCATTATACTGTCCAGCACTTAAGGTTCTCAGCGGAGCATAGCGCCGGTCCGGCACTGCTCGAGACAGTGGTGGTCTACTATGGTCTGTGAAACCTGTAAATACAAACATGAAAATTAATTGTTTAACACTAGAGAGCCCAAAGATACAAGAATTTCACCAGATTTCTCCGTCTTAAACATGCAAGTCAATATTACCTGGTTAAATGGCGACTGGACTCATGCACTTCCATCTCATTGCTCTTGAAATCGTTGAGTTCCTTCCTTATGGCTGCCTAAAGGGGAAGAAAAAGCAGATTGAGAAAAGCGGCTATGGCTTAACATGTAAACTGCAGACTCTAAGCCCTGACTCTGCCTCCTTTTAGTATTTCCCATGCATTTTTAATGCACATCTCAAGGCCATGAATGATTCTGCTGAGTTCATTTCACACATCACAAGAGCCTTGAATTTCTTCCCCTCATGAGACAACCAATGGCCTGATTATGATAAATAGTCCAGTGTTGGTCTAATTGGAAGACATAATCTTAGTGCCATGGATTGTGACAAACGGACAAAAAGAACTGAGAGCATCATCCTTTCCTTTTTTACTAATGTAGCTTTGGATGACATACTGTATCCTGAGTTTAATGAATGTCTGCTTTTTGATTTCCTTTGCCCTTGAGACACCTTTCCTTTAAGTTTAATACAATTCCACTGAGCAGTTTTTGCACATTCACTGGCTCCGTTTGCACCTCACATTAATATCCACCTTTTGTGAACGCAGTAAGACAGCTCTAAGCATGGAGGTGAATGCACTGAGGAAACACTGATAATAGACCACTTACAGAGATGGGGAAACACGTGGTTCTATTTGTTTGCATCACACATGCTTCTAGGGCCATCATACAAAAAGACATTGGCTCAACTAGTTTGTCACTTCATCAGCAGTGTGATTTCTACACATTTGTTTCTCCCAATCCAGTGTTAGACGAAAGCCAAGTCCAAATTCACCCGATGCCTCAGACACCAAAGACTCCCTCTGCTCTGTTCATTTCTCAATGAAAGCAAATCAAAGTGCAGCGCCAAAGATTGGGGCTCACTTTTTGCTCCAGTGGACTGTCCTCAAACATTACTGATGAAGGACACAGAAGTTGTTCACAGCTGTCTGAGCATGATGTATTCATTTGGTACAAGGAAATCGGAGCCCACTGGTTTAAAGTGTTTTGATCAAATACATGTTAAAAGAAAAGAAGAAAGAGGGGCACCACTGACAGAACAAGGGGACCCGTCTATGCTCCTAAATACAAATTCATTATTTTCGTATTTTAGAATATGAATCTCTGACTGGTAAAGGTTTAATATTAGAGAATGGGATTTGCTTTTAGGCATGCTTGTATTAAATGTTAAAATCAAAACTCAAACTCACACAGCCTGTCTTTGTCTGATTCTGTCCAGTAGGGGGCACTTTGGGTATATGTCTACAGTAGACCTCACCCTCATCCTTAGGCCATCCTTTTCATGTTCTTTTCCCCCTGTAATCCCTTTTCCAGGAAGGTTTCTTAACCCAAACAAAGCCGGGATGAGGTTACAGTGTTGGTGGAAGGCCTCAGGACATTAAACGATAAGAAGAGGGACCTTACGTCACACCTAAAACACCATGTGAGACAGCAACGCAGAAAGCTGATGTCACAGCTTGTATTATTTAGCACGAGTCAAGGGGATGTCTTCAGCCTCAAGGAGGATGGACTGACTATAGAATGACAAATCAAATTCTATGCCTGATGACAAGAACAGCAAACAAAACGAAAAGCAATAAACAAACCAAAAAACTGTGCGGCAGTGGGGGGGGTCCTGACACGTGGCCTCTGTCTTACGTAAAAGAGGTTGTTGCGTAAAAACCTTATGATTTTCATGAGTGGTCTTTAGGTGTGACCTGGGGCACTCCAGCATCACGTCATCAAAACAAAGAAGACACAAGATTTGTTACATAACAGTCGAAGGCTCATTAAAAAGCCGGGGTCACGGCCTTATGGACACTGAGCAGCAAAATGTATTTGCTTGATGGGTGGAAGTGACCCTATATGTGTTGGTAAAACCTAAAAGCCTTAAAGAGACGATCTTAACAAAAAAAACTAATCTTAACTAAATTAACCAGAGTGTAACTGGCCTTATCGGCTGCTGTGAGTCGGGTCCAGGGCTTATCTGCTCTCCTGTCGTAGTCCTGGGCATCTGACACCTCCACGTAGTCACTGAATCTGATGAGAATTTTGGCCTGTCTGAGCTCCTCGACAGTGGGCCTTTGGCTCAGCTGAAACAAGAAGAAATAAACAATTTTAGAACTGCAAGTTCAGGACAATTCTTAGACCACCTTGAATACAGTGGTATTTTGACACCTGTTCTCACATTTTAATGATGTGTAGTTTCAGGGACTGGAGGAAAATGGCATGAGCTTTCCTTTGTGGGTGCTGTTATTTTAAGAACATCATGCCATGTAGGAAATAACTCCTGTACTTTTCAGGCACTTGGTAAGGGTTATTCTGGTGCAAATTCATAAGAAGACTTACTTAATCTTTACCCATTTCCTGAAAATTCCAGGAAGGGATCTGTGTACAAAGCAAAGATGGTGTATATGTGGATTTCAACCCAATTCAGGAGTTATAAAAAGTACCAATAAGTCCAATTTGGAACCAGTATAGAGAGTTTTGTGTTTTTCCATATTTAATCTGGCTGGCATTAACTTGGCCAATTATATTTTTGAATAAAAGGAGTCCCGAGGAACACCTGCTTTCACATTAAAAACACCATTAACTAATCTGGGACAGACTTTAAACCTTCACTTTGAACATAAAAATTCCTTTACAAGACTCTAGTACTTTCAAGACCTGATAAGAGTAGTTTCACATCATCCCACCAGAACCGTTCTCCCTCAAACTGCAGGCTTACTTGTGATTCCTACAAGTTCTGAGAGTGCCTCCAGCTCACAGGCCCGTCTTCTTGTGGAGCAAGCTCCCGGTTTGGATTAGGTGGGAAGACCCCCGCTACTTTTAAGATAAGCTTTAAACTTTTCCTTTTGATATTCTAATTTTAAGTGCTGGTTCAGGTAGCGCTGAAAGTCCGACCAGCGGGCCGCTTCCAGCTTTCAGTCAGACTTTGCACAACCCACGGCGTGCGCCTTAAAATGCATTATTTATGGCCCATCCTGGATAAGTGCATTTGTATGTCACGTTTATGCCTCAAAATTATGTGGTACTCTTCAGTATTTCACCATTTTTATTATCCTTTGACCTGAAACTTCATGTGGCATTTCTGGCTCCAGAACTGCACGTCTCTTACCAAAATTTGGACGTGAAAATACAAATTCAGACCCTTTAAATTTGTACATATTTCCGTTCAGTTGCACTTTTTTTCTACACTTGCTGATCTGCCAACAACTTTGAGGTTTTACTAATCTTTGTTGCTTATGCAGGTGAACAGAAAGTGTTATTCTGGTACTGACAGCGATGTGAATATTCTCAACACCTCCCTATGGGGTCCAAAAAGGTTTGGCAACCAACATGCCAAAGTAGGAAGGACAACAAGGACATCAGTGTACAACGCTACCCCTGTAACAGACAACATTTCACTTCTCACTACAGATGAGTCACCATCATAGTGTTTGTTTATCCTGGCCTAAAATGGACCCCCTTCCAGGTGCTGGAAAGGAAAGTGTGGCTTTGCACCTTCTGAGCTATTTTCGGACTCACCTTTCGTGTCAGCCTTTTTTTTATCTCCCTTTTCTCCTCCATTTCCTCCTGCTCATTGCGGGCTGCAGAAAATAAGAATGGTACACTTTGAGTTGACAAACAGAGTCCTCACTGTGCAATGTTTATAAGATGTTGAATGGGTACAGGCACACCATTTGCATAAAATGCCTCATTAAATTTACACTAAATTGTATGACTTTCTTAGAGCTTAAAATAGGTTTTATTAAGGCTGTTTGATGCCTTTTCAGCAAAGTCTGTGAGGAGAAAATGGTTTCTACGATCCTTTCAAGTTCTCCCAGGTTTTAAGAACAAATGTTGACATCATGTAAGCCAAGTAAAAATAGATCGATTTGTACATAATTAAAGAGACAAAAACTAAATATAAACTATTCATAGAAGTGGTTGAAGTTAGTCTCCCTGAATTCATTAAATGTATGTCTTGCATTGTATTTCTCATTTACATAAATAAAAAAGTACAAAAGCTATAAAGCAAGTCAGAAAAGCAATGAGAGTAAAGGATGGCCATCAGGCAATGCTGCTTGCGTTAGCAAAAGCTTTAATAGTAAAACTTCATCTGACCTTGCACTGAATGTAATTTGCCATTACAATAATTCATTCTGCATTGTAGATGTTTTCTCTCCAGTAAGTTTGACCATGGTATTTCACGTTCCTAAGCATGGATTTATTATTGATCTGCACTCTTATTTTTGCACTCTGCCAATCCCACAGGAGCCTCAAGGAAAGCAGGAAGTGCTGGTAAGACTGTTGTTTGATGTAAGAGTTGCTGTTTCTCTCCTGATATAGAGTTTGTTTGAGCTAAGAAACCATTCTCCTTGGACAAGACTCCTAAGGGAGCCCCTGCTGCTTGCCTGCTTCACATGAAAGGGCAGTCCAAGGAGGACTAAAAGGAATGCATGCCACCCATAGCAAACTGTCACTCAAATGTTGATATGTTTAAAAAAAGTTACACACATTTAAGCCACTCACGTTTGAGGATGTTCCTTTGTTCCAGTTCCTCTGCTGTTGGTCTCTGACTCAAGCGCCTGATGAGAAACAGACAATCACTGTGAGCCCATAACCAAAAGGTGACATTTTAACAATAGCAATACATTAATTATTGAGTCAGTTGGCTTGATTTGAAACTGCTATTTTTTCTTTTTTTCTTGCATTCTGTAAGGAATTTTTCTTAGAATAGAAAATAAAAAAATTAAAAACTGCATCCCGTGAGCTGCAGCTTTACTCGAGAATTTTTTTCTTCCGTGAGGGGTCAGAGGAGAGTGAGCAGATCGGTTCGGGCTTGCAGAGAGACTGCTAATCCTCTGATCTGAGCAGTAAAGATCTGCAGTGAACAATGTAGAAAGCAACTACAGTGAACGGCATGTGAAACTTTTGTGTGGAAAAGCTGCAGTGATTAAGAGTATATCCTGTTCTACTCATGTCAGATAAGATCAAACAGCTGAGTCGGCACTGGCTGGCCTAAACTGGACCTCTGAGGACCGGAAAAATGAATCCTGATCTAATAAACTTCTTATTCTGCAGAGGCTGCGGAAGATATGAAATCTTGTATGAATTCACGGACCCCTGTTGTCTTGTGTGAACAATGGATAGTTTGGGTCACAGTGTGGCGATGGAGAGCATTTTATTGGTACTAGCTTTAATACTAACCAGTTACTATTGTTGCTAATCATGTCCTACAATTGATCAATTTTCAGGTGGCCTTTCAAGCACAATCTCAAAATTGGAATATTGCCTAATACTGGTCTCACAAACAAAACCAGGAGCTCAGCAGGCAGCAGCTGTCACCAGTTCTGAGTCCACCTCTGGGATGCAATACAAATGATATGAATGGAATAAATGTGGAGCTAACAAATGTGTGGATGTGATGCATTCCCTCAGACATGAAACCAAATTCAACATAATGAGGAGCTGTGGTACAGTAGACATAGAGAGGCTGTTAAAGCCCCCCTCACCAGTATGAATAGGGTGTTTTTACTGAAACCCTTGAGCTCTGCAATTCAGAGAGAGGCATGTACAGATATGTTTCTTCCCCATATTTTCCCCAGAATTCACTTTGCAGCTTTGGCAGCAGGCCTCAGGAAATTGGTCTTTTTAACATTTTGACTCAGACTGGATACTTTTAACTGAGAACACTGGATTATTTTGAAGTATTAAAAACTTTATTGAGAAATGTAGGAAATGCATTTGATGGCATCAGACACTGGTTTATTTCCATTCCTTTGATTAAAGAAAAGCTGGGATTACTGTAGTCATGTTTTATATTCTCTTACTGTGCAGTGTGTGTACATGAGACAAAGACCTGCACATTTATTTGGTATTTTGCTCATGACAAGCTTGACAGGTGCTGCTCCCAAAACTTCCCCTAATCATGATCACCAGAAACTATAAAATCCACTTATACAGCCAACGAAAGTCAGATCATTTTGAAGACTCTGCTAACTTGTGAAGATGCATGATGTAAATGGGTTTATGAAACATCAAAATGTCAACTGAATGGTTTCCTAACAAATCTAAAGGGCACATTGGAGCAGACAAAGACAACAGCAGCTAGATACATCATGTTCTTATCCTTTTAGAAATCTAACAAAACAAATCACATCACACACTGAATAAATGATCGAAAATATTTGTGTCTTTAAATGGTACAAAAGATACAAAAATACCAACAAGGAGGGACACAAACAGCATATGTAAATGCAGTGTGTGGCATATACCGAAGTTATAGAAAAGTCCAACCCCCCAAAAAAAGATTAGTGTTTATCAGCTTTCTCTCTTAAAGGTTAAAGCTGAAGAGCTTTCCTTCCCTCCCTGGGGTTTTCCCCATAAATCAGGTCAACGGCACTGACCCGAAGTTGGTGTGTCCTCAAATACTATAACAATCAATTCTGATAAGCCTGGCACAGGCAACCACAATACAGGGCGCAGTGACTCCTCTAAAAAGGAGAGAAAATGAATGCACTGTACCAAGGACACTGTCACAAGGCTTTTTTTGGGAACACGACGACCGAGTCAGCAGGCCTTCTGGGAACATGCTCTATGTTCAAGTCACAGTGGGGGAATATTGGCTTGATAATAATTTTTTCCTTCCAATCACATTTTCCTCATTTCCTACATTTTTGTGCGATTCTGGTTTTGATTGCACCTTCATACTACAGTGGTGCCATTTCTCGCCTCAGCAGATCCTTTCGTTTCTTTAATTTAGACACAAAGTCATGTTTTTTAACGAACAAAGACAAATCATGACGGAGAAAGGAAAAGAAAATCTGTCCTTGGATCTCCTCAGCTGCTCCACCTCACCGTTTGTACACAAATTCCTGCAATCTATACATTCTGTGCCAGCGAGTGAATGCAAAAACTGCTGCTATGAAAAAGCCTGTGTGGTGCTGCTGTGTGGAGGAGTCGGGTGGAGATAGTTTGGCACATGCATCACCGTGGTGATTCAGTGAGCGAGGGAGGAAGTCAGGCAGGAGGAAAAAAGAGGAGAGATAGTGAGAGCACACTAGAGAAAAGACAAGAGAAGGAATAAAGAGGAAGGGGGGGGGGTATCATTGAAATTAGGTCAGCTCCATTTTCAGAGACTCTTTTTAACAAGATAAAGACTTTATCTTGAGAGTCTGTTCTGGAGTGAGTCACAGTTTCTCTCATAAAACAAAAAGCTGTGTTTGGCTGCGGACCCATTGCAGCTGCTGCACAGGCAACTGCATCATCGACGTAGTTGATTCAAAATACATATACCAAGACATGCTAAAGTATATTAGCCACATTCAGGCCCACCAAAATGAGAGTCCCTTACCTAGTGAGTTTGGTGCCTATCTGCTGCCTCGACTCCAGTCTCTCCTCATCCGTCTGCATGGGTAGTATGTTTTTTTCCTCCAGCTCTCTTTTGGATGGACGGTTACTTAGCTTGATGGCAAGGGAGTCTTTTCTGAGCACCTTCTGAGCGAGGGTACCTAAAGCCAAACATGAAAACATCTGAGGAATTTCAGGCAAATAGAACCTACGTTGTGCTCATTGGCCCGTCATAAAACGAGACTTCAATATGTCTACATGTCTGCCTGTCATAATGTGCTAAATCCGACTTCATTCTTTACACTGCTGCATCACCTCTTACCACCTACTACAAGAAATGTTCTTTATTTTAATATATGAAAAAAATCAAGTACATTTCTTCCGTGTAGGATCAATAACGTTCCATGGGTTCCTCACATTAAAAGCAGCCATGAGTTCTGATTTAGCTGAAAACATTTTTTTAAGTAATTAAATTAAATCTTATGGGCATTAACAAACTTAAAATCTTCACTGTTTAGTTCAAGAGGCTCTGTTGCCACGGCAGCAGCTGAGACTTACTTGTAAATATAGAATCATCATCTTCATCATCATCCTCATCGTCGTCCTCATCATCCTCCTCATCCTTGTACATGCTGGGCAGATCTTCATAGTCAGACTCGTCGGGCATGTTTTCCTTGTCCTCCTCATAGTCGATGATCACTGACGGCACTTCCCTTCGGTCCAGGGGGGCACACTGCACGCCGCCATGCAAAGCAGCGCTAAGGAGGGAAAAGATGATAAGTTATCATGTTCCTTTATTAAAATGTGACTATCACTGTCACTTGGAAAAAGAAAATCCTATGGCCATACTATTTGTCCTATGAGCGGAAGCTTATAAACCGAGTTTTTACGGTTTTCTACTGAAGTCAGTTAACAAATATACGCCAAGCTTGAGACAGGAAGTGGCTTAAAGCAACAAATGGACTTCTGGGCATTATGATATAGCACATAAAGAGTTAGACGGGCTTAGTAGATTTTTAATCCAGGTATAAAAGGAGGGGTGATGTTCTGTATAACTCCATATGAATGAAACACTGATCCCAAATACAAACTAAATATAATTCTGGACAGTCGTTCACAACACCAGTGCAATTCTCTGAACATCAGGAAGAAACAACAAAGTCCCAGATTACAGTCTGTGTAACTCCAAACAAAGGTGAAATCGAATTAACTCTCTTTCAGGAACTATTGGTTGAATGGTTACATATTTGCTAGATTGATTAATAAACATTCTAGTTGAAGCTTCTTAGGATGAGCCGCTGTTATGTAACCGGTCCGAGCTTTCAGACTAATTGTGAGCTATGTCAGAGGCATTACTTCCTTATCTCAGCCCAAATAGCTTCGGTTAAAAAGAGATCCTAATGTAAAAGGTTACATAATGTCCAATCCTCTACTGTGTCCCTTTTTCTCAAAACATGAAGAAAGTCAGCCTCCTCAAGAGCAGCTGGTCATGTTATGTCAGGCCAACTGCTGGAGGGACGCCTACTCCATGTGCTTGTGCCCACACATACACACATTTACTTAAAAATTAGGCCATGCTGCCCTGTGAGGCAGTGTGCTGATTTAGACCTGTACAACAGAGCTGGCAAGATGCGACCTCAATATCACCAGAATATATTTTAAAGTATGCTGCCACAAAAAACAGTTCTTATTGACAGGCTGAGATGTACTCAAATGAAAGGCCTCTCTTCAGTAATTACTCTGTTTGGTGATGTTTTAGCAACTGCATTTGGTAACATCAGATCAATTTCATCATATAGACTAGATACACGTATAACAAAACATAATCTCTGTGGAGGAAACCTGCCCGGGGTTTCAAAATCCTACGTCAAAAGTAGGGATTTATGACATAATATCCGTATTTTTAATTTTCTACAAACATATTTGGTGACGTTCAGTGAAAATCCAACCAAGATTTCAAGTTGTGATGCAGAAACAAGCTGATAAGAGGCCAATCTATAATCCATCCCTGCCTTGCCACAATCAGATTAAACAATGAGTGCTGACGGCAAACTAACCTCTCAAACCTCTGCATGGACAGCGCCAGGGTTTTATTGAGCTCTTCGATAATGCGGCTGGGCGCGTGCAGGCTGCCGTACTGGAGCTGAAGGGGGTGGCCGTGGCTCTGGTGCAGCCCGGAGAGCCCAGCCAGATGAGAGGGCAGCAGGGTGCCGTGGTGGGGCGGCCCCCCCTGTGGGGGGGGACACTTTGGTGGGAGCGAGCTGAGAGGGTTTGGGGATGGAGAAGGGGACGAGTCCAGCCCCCCTGGAGGCACACAAATCATCACTTTCTTGGGAGGAAGGGGTGGAGAGTGCTTTCCCCCGGGCATGCAGGGCAGCTTCATCGGCTGGCAAGAATCTGAGAGGTGACAAAAGGACAGAGAATTAAGCACCGCTGAATATTTGCATGTGACTGCAGCCTGTCAGGACGGGCCAGATAAACACAGCTCACTGATGATCAGATATGGCTCAGACGTCAATGCAGGGTGGTGGGAATTAGGCCAAAGTAATGCCACTTCCCTCTGCCGACAGATTGACTATGACAGAGAGAGCCCGGCCCGAACTCACCAAAGGGGGGGGGGGGGCTTAACGAGACTACGGTAATCCTGTGAGAGCATGTGTGGCAACGCAGGTACGGTTTAAAAAAAAACAGTTGTCACAGCTCGTCAACAGGTTTTGACAGACTAATGTGAAATGGCATATTAGAAATTCAATAAACAGGGAAACACCGACTGGAGTCTAGCCTGAAACTTACCTGTGCTATGGTTTGGGATCCTTGAGAAAGGCTTTGGAGGGAGCGCAGGAGGCTGTTTGTGATAGAGCGGTGGCTTGGCAGGGGTATCCTGATGGTCGCCTGGAAAAGTGATATTTTTCTTGCTGGACAGGACCATAGATGTCTTAATAGAGTCCTGAGTGTTGATGCCACCATCCATGGAGGATCGGAATTCAACGGTTGCTGGAACCCAACAAGAAAACAAAAGGCATCAAAAACCTGTTTCACTGCCCAGTCCAATTTAACCTAAAAGTTAGTCCAAAGCAAAAGTTTTTCAAATTAATTTGGAGCTTGTTAAACAATACGGGTTAAGTCAGTTTCAGCAACCCCAGAGGTTTTTATCAGCTCACACCAGACTGTGGAGAGGCAGAACAAAAAGAACTTTTGCTTCTCTGGCACAGTCCTGAAGCATTTTCTGGTTTCAGAGTGAACATATTTTAATACTGACAAATCCCAATGCTGCTCACAAACAATACACCCCCCTAGAAAGCCTCCTCAGTTCCAACTTTTGATCATGAATGAGCAGTTTTTCAAATTGGAAATTACAATAATGCTCCTGAGATAAGGATAAAGAGATTTGTCTCCAGACTTGTAAACGTCCTTCCAAATATTTATCGTATGTTTTTTAAATATAATTGTTTGTAACAAAGGAGACCAGAGTAATAAACTGAGGTACTACAGCATGATATATAAAGTATATGTAAGAAGTATATTGGATTGTTTTTAATTTGAGGTCGTTTTATCTAGGGAAGGATTAGTTTGTAGGTCATCATTTAGCAGTTTTGGATTTAGCCAAATTATAGCATATCAAAAAATAAAACCAAGACCACATGGTTCCTTATCATCTCTCTTCACAGCTTGGCAAGAGTCAGTCGACTTTTACAGCTTTTCCAACTTCGTTTATGTCCTGGGGCATGGAAGAGCCAGCTGTCAGACTCAAATATAGCTTTTGCTCTTGCTTTGAATGTAGCATGTCTAAGGCACATCAAATTAACATCAAAAGGTTTATATGGTTAATAAAATGTTACAATTTCCTGTAATGAAAGATTATATCTCAAGATGCCCCATGTCAAATCTTTACGAATGAACATCAGAGGCTTCTGATTAATGGAGAGATGAGAGACCTTCCAATTTAGCACACAACGGCTGTCCCTTTTGTAGTTTGGAGTTAAATCCGAGGCAGTTTCCCACTCAACTAAATCAGACCGCAAGTGCATGAAATGAGCTCACCTTTTTCAAAGATTTCCTTCAGCACCCCTCTCTTGATAAGCTCATCCCTGCTTTGTCGCAACGACATCTTCCTCTCCAAAGCTTAAAATGTAGAGAAAAAGACAAGTTCTTACAAGTTGTCACTTGTAAGTCAAGAAGATCACAGCATTGTTGCACGGTTCAACTCTGGTCGACTAATCTTCCAAATCAGAAGTTAACAAAATAAGCTTTTACTTCGTTTTTAATAATAAAAAAAAATGCATTGAAAGCAAAAACAAAAAATAGGCACTATTAAAAACAAAAAACCTTCATTGACCTACAACATCTTGGCCTCTCTGGAGCCAATAGTAACAATACCAAAGATGGCCCACTGAAGCTAAAAGAAAAGCCTAAAAAAACATTATATGATCTCTTTTATTGTTAGAAATGTATTGGCTATGTGCTGACAGAACAGCTCATGCCTTCAAGTTGGCAGGGTAACACAAAATGTATACAAAGCTTTTTAAAGGAGCTTAGCAGTCACAAAAAAATAGGTTTGACCTGCATCACACCATTAACACGGTTCAGAGTCGAGTGAACTCAAATTGACCAGTCCTCTCACTTGCTTCACACATCTTACAGGTTTTTGAGTTTCATGAGATGCATGTATCCATGTCCAGAGGTTTTTTTGCGATAATACCATTACATTGAGGGAGGTTAAAATCTCCTGTCAGTCGTGAGCAAATGGTAAAATCTTGTTGTCATTCTACTGCAGCCTCTCCTCTGCTACATTATGCTACAGATCTATGTTTCCAAAATAAACACATAAACTAAATGTTAATGATCATATACAAAAACAGCTTTTTTTTTTAAAGAGGTGTGGTTTAATAAAAAAAAGGGAAAAAAATGGGTCATGATTAAGATAGAGACATTTGATATTTCTTGCAATACATAATGCACAAGATAAAATGTACCGTTGCTTCTGTTTGTTCTATTTTTAGGCTTCAAAAGAGGCACTCTTCCCATCAGTTGGCTGAACGAAAGCAGCAAGAAACCCTGTTGGTTATTTTAAAGTCTTAGACTGCATAGGAACCAGTTAAGAATGTAAAATGAGGATGTGCAACAACTCTCGAGCACAGTGCACCGAAGACTCCCTCCAGGCTTCTGTACCGTAGCTTGTGCTTATGAAGAAGATCACAGCTTCTGCCATCTGTGCTTTGTATGACACGCCCCGCTCCATCAGGAGTTGATGTGTTCAACGTTAACAACCCCTTCAGAGCGGTCTTATAAAAAATATATCAGCACCTGCAAGGAATCTCCTTTAAAAGTCCTTGGTTAAAATACAGTAAAAGCTGCAGAGTAAAAAAAAAAAGAAAAAAAAAAGAAGGCACTGAAATGTCAGCAAAGGAGGCCTTTGGGTCAATTATGCAGATACTGTGACATTTAGTATTCAAAATTACAGCAGGATAGCATGTTAATATTGAACTAAAATACTCAATTATGCATTTTTCCAGGTCCAAACATAAAAAATTGTGAAGATAAGGCGGTTTATGATAACCTCAAAGCTAGGAATTGGATCAATCCATCCATGAAAATGGCCAAAATATCAACATTACTTCACACAAGATCACTGCATCCCAGGATATGTCAAATTGCAAATAGCATGAAATTTAGGTAAATTGTGCCATTTATAAATGCTACTTTGGGATGCTAATGCAGACGGCTCCATCAAAAACTGATTTTCCCTCCCAAGAGGAACCTAATTTAACAGTAGGTCAAGTATATCAAGGGAAAGTAAATAGATTTATCAAAGAGTTGACCCAGAATTAACATAGCTGTGGAAGTAGCCAATTTATTTAGGCAGAACTCAACAGCGCGCATTAATTAAAATGGTTTCTGTTTATGTTGTCATTTATTTTTGTTGGAGGGGGTGTATATAACAAATCTGCAAAACACGGGAATAGGCATAATGAGGTCTGACTTTTTTTAGGCAAATTCTCATTGATGCGAAATTGAACAGATTTCTCTGACATCAAAATCATACAATGATGTTCCGGTCTGAAATAGAGTCTAGCACAAAGTCAGATTTAATGAGAATTTGACATCAATGATCTGCATTAGTGTAATCTCTTAAACATCAGCAACCACTCTTTACAGGAGTGGGGAAACCCAGGGCTAGAGGTTAGTACCAGGCTGGCCGGGCTCGGGGATTACTCTCGTCTCATCCAAAATGAAAAGCAATTACTCAAAGCTTTATGACATAACTGCGATGTCTGTGTACACTTACGCAATACCATTAACTCTAAAGCTTTAATGACAATATTATGTAGCCAGATTTGACTGACAATGTGCATTCATGAATTAAAAGAGGTAATTGGTAAAACTGAAGTGGACACGTGAGATGCTGAGCATAATGATGAAACAATGGGTACAGCAAAGAACATTTTCTAAAGATTGAAGACCACCAGGAAAAACACGTTTCCATTTCATTTGATCAAAATGAAGGAAGGGCATTTCAGTCCTGCCAAATAGCTACCTTTGACACCAAGTACAAACTATAATAAAACATCATGTGCATACATTATAAAATCTGAATGATTCAGTTTTGTATGCAGCTGGAGTGCTAAGATTCTATTTTAAAAAAGATCCTTAAAGCTTTATCCATATTTTTCATATTCAAGGATAAAAGCAAATGTTTGATTGCCTCTAGATCAAGTTTTGTGGTAGTCAGCTTCCACTGCCCAATAGGGGTCTGCAGCCAATAAAATCTGTACTAAGCTGAGAAAATTGGACTCACATAGTGGAGACTCAGCCGAGAGCATAATAAATTAAAACTGGTCTATCCAACTACATCCACTATTGATTTCAGAACACGGTACTTTGTTTTTTTTAGAATGAAACATATCATATATTCCACTGTGCCGTGACCCAGATAGACAGAACCCATTCCAACAACCCTAAAGCTCAGAAGCTCAAATTGGAGCCTTTAACTGAGGAAATTCTCTGAGCCTCTCAAAAAGGCGTAAAAAGTTTGGCATATTCTTAAATCAATGTGGAGCTCATGCATGAGAGGCTCAGGAACAGCAAAAAAGGAACAAACAAGAAAGAAAACATTTACATTATATGGCTGTATGACATGTACGTGTAGTTTTTTCTCCAAACAGAATATAAACATGCAAATGTTTTAAACAAAACAAATAAAGAGTTAGATAACTACTGTTAATAGGAATATTTATGTTATGGATTAAAAACAGAGACTCAGATAGCATCAAAGAGCCAATTCTCTGTTCTTTTGATAAATCTCTGCTTAGTTAGATCTTTACTGATTCTGGCTTACTGTGAAAATTGACCAAGTGCAATGAGGCACAGTACTTCTTACCATGCCTGGGGTGAGGAATGCAGTCCTCCAAAGCTGGAATTCATCTGCTTAATATCACACAACATCTATAATCCTCAATAGTGCTTATTGTCCAATTATCCACAACAACATCTGTATACCCAGTGGCTGCTCCACTTCCTTCTGATGCAGCCAGCATAATCAGCGTTAAGGTATCTAAGACAACGGCAGAGAGTAAAAGTGAATACATTCGAGGCTGAAATGAGAACAGGGAAGCAGGAATCACAAGTTTCTAATCAGATTAATGTAAAGATTAACCATGAAGTGAATTTTCCATGACTGCTTAAGGAACAGACCAACAGATGACCTACAGATCCTCTTAATGAAGGGGGTCTGGTAAGAGATATAGCAAACCAAGTTGAATACATTTGTTGAAGATAATTGATCTAAACCAGTGTATTAAAAGACGGTAATAAAGGGCAGACATCTTCACTAATCCAATAAATGGAAAAGCACAAATAGTGCCCCTAAAGACAGCACTAAATCAGATTAGCTGACATTTGTCCCTCTCAACGCCATAATACTCATTACAGAAAAATACCAGAGGACAACAAATCAGGTGTCTTCATTTGGAAATGGTTAGCACACAAGTATTTTCTTCCCAAATTTAGTATATTCAAGATAAACCTTGACAAACTAACTTTCAGAAAACTGACTATTCATTGCCCTCAGCTGTTAGAGTTTCGTACATTCCACTGGGTTCAAGCAAAGTCCGTCCATCCATTTTCTATACAGACTTAATCCAATCCAGGGTCACAGAGGGGCTGATCCTCGCTATCATTGGGCGGTGCTATGTTACACCCTAAACACGTTATAAGTCCATCACAGAGCCAACACAGAGAGACAAACAACTATGCGCAGTCACTCCTATGATCAATTTATAATCACTTATTAACCTAGCATGCACGGTTAAGGAGTACCCAGAGGGAACCCAGCCATGTGCAATGAAGCCATGCACTCTCCACCAAAAAAGAGAGGCTCTAACCAGGTATCGAACATTGACACCTCTTATTATACCACCATAGCAGTGTGCAACCCAGTTCCAGCTAAATGTTTTTTTAAACTCCAAAATAAGGATATGCTTCAATATAATGATAACTTGTGACTGCACATCTGGAGTCTAGTCTTAGTTTTTTGGCCCTTGTGCTACTATACTGACAAAACCAGCCTCGAAAACAACAACACTGTTGGTGGAAATGAGGATGCAGGTAAAGCCAACCGTGAGGAAGCTAACACAGCTACATTTAAAAGTGAGGTAAAGTGGCAGAACAGAATGGAGCTGCGGAGTTTGAGGGGAATTCTCTGAAGGTCTGCTGCAATGTGAAAAACATCACACATTCTTATCCTTTTTGAGGCGTCCAGAGTTGTAGCTTTAAATCTCTGTAGAAAAAAAAAGAAATGCTGTTGGCTTCACATTCTCTGCTGCCACTTGAATTAACTGCGCTGGCACCGCTTTCTGGAGAAGCGCGGACCGCGTCCAACTTATCTGGGGCTTCACGAGTCAGTTCAAGCTGAAAAGAATGCGAGGCAGGACTGTCCATCGTAGTAGTGACTATCTGTCCGAGCACTGATTCTACTTCAGAGACACCCTATAAAATTATATATATGTTGTGTATTAAAAAGATTTAACTCAACAAGCAGTCTGGGGAAATAAGGCATGTTGCAATGGGACATTGAAAAGGACTGAACAGAATTACGGCAGCTACAGAATTATTCGGAGATGCAGCATTATGCAAAATAAACAAGTGGATGACAAAAGTGATGAAAAGAGACATTTCTCTCAGCTACTCTGCGCATAAACGACAGAAAAAAAGCATCTTTTGTTGCTCAGCTCTTGATTATTGTTCCTCACCACAACAGGGGACATGTTATTATCAAAGGGCATACATGAATGTACCAGTGAGCACACAGCATCTCCATCATTGTTTTTATCAAGTAAACACTCTACTATAATACAGTAAAACATTAAAAAGCTAAGCATCTGAATCTGGAGAATATATTTCATCAGCCCTTTTGTATCTGACTGAAAACAGCACAGATCAGAGAAAGCACGAAGGGGAGCGTGTGAGGGTTGGCAGGCAGACCAGAGACAAATCATAACCGAACAACACAGAAAAAAACAAAAGCGAACGTGCAGCGCTACATAAAATGGAGCAAAACTAGGATTAAAAATGAAAAATTTGTCACGGATAACATATTCAAATCAGACGGATCAAATCCAATAGCAAACAAATCTAGCAAGTGTGAATTTTGCATGGCCTAATAAGAAAATCCTGTCCTGTTCAGACCGGATTCAGGTCCCTGAGTAATTGCTCATCTTATGACACACAGTCTGACAAACTGCCTCCTTGCGTCCGGCAGGCCGACCGGAGAATTTAGGATGTGTCAGCCACCCGAAGACAAACATAGCCACATCCAAAGAGACCATTCACTGACTCCGAACAACACTGGGCTGCAAGATCAGACGAACTCTGAATAAACCTCAAAACATGAAACTCAGAAAAACGCTTTTGACAAATAAATTTGCCGGATTGTCCATCAGACCGCAGTTGGAGTCTGATCATTGTGACAGGAGGATCTATACTGACGCCACAGCTGTTCCACACCACATCTCTTTCCCGCTTACACCGACAAACATTTTCTTTAAAATGAAAAAGCTATGTACCGGCAGAGGTCTGCTTAAACTTCTCGCTCTTCTTCTTCCTCCATTTCCAGGGCTTGAGGAGTCGCCCCAGAGTGGCGAACTTGCTCCGATGGCGGATGGGTGGAGTGTGGGTGCCAGAAAGCAAGGACTCGGAGCGCATGGCTGCCAGCCTCTCGACCTCCTCCGCTGCAAAAGCAAGAAATAGAAAAATTTGATGAACAAAAGCAGGTTCTGGTTCAGACGGGGACACAGAGAAGGCGCCGTTTTGTCAAGCTGTCGTTTCGGGGGGACCAGACTGTAAAAGCAGGCGCAAGCACCGTCCCAAAAAGGCCATCCCAGCAGCAAGGATCGGTGCCAAGCGGCCTCCTAAATTCAGCATTAACTGAACGAGGCTGAACAAAGAGCATAAACAAACCTGCATGTCAGATATCATTATGCAGAATAGGCTCAGGGTAAACAGTCTGAGGCTGTTCCACACTGAGCAGTTGGCAGAACTTGCAAAAACACACTAAACAGACTGATAAGCACCTCATTAAAGTAGAATCCTTCTACTTCATGAAATATTCACAAAGCTCTGCCTTCTGACTTTAAAGTACTGTCTGACATCAAAAGCAAAGAATGTAAAGCATTTTGTCCCAAGACAAACTATAAGAACAAAGAATCTGATGCAAGAGCAAAGGACTACAAACTGCTCCAAACCTGAAGCGGACTCATGCTACAAATAGACATTAACTTATACGATGAAATGACAGGGGGCAGGTATCATTAGAACTAAAAAAAGGAACACAATAACAGTATTTAAATAATATCTATGCACCTCTGACTGTTAACTATTGTTATGATCATCAGATGATTCTTCACGTTCACATTCTGAAAATAGTCTGTTCACGTTATGAGGTTGATAAAAGTGTTTGGAAACTTGCACTTCAAGCAGCCGTTTCAATGCCTGCCGCTGAAATGCGTTTACTTTTGATGGGAATTTTCTTATTTTTTAGTTAGAACACATTAAGTTCAACGCAAATGGTGAGTAGTTTGATTAATTCTATATTTAAAATTTCCAAACAAAATCAACAACAACATGATACCTGTGTTGTTTATCTGTCATCATTTAAGCAGTGAGCCATTAAAAAAACCCATAAACATGAGCTATTTCTTCCTCTCGCTGCTGAACAATAACTCAAGTAACATTTATACAATATTCAAGTGGTTCAAATGAAGCAATCTTTTGCTAAATTAGAAGCATTAAACACTTTAAAATAAATATACTTAGTATGACTTCTAAACGGTTACTGACATCCATTCATTTATTTTCACATAGCAAGCAGATCAGACTTTTTCACACAAGTAAACGATCATCTCCAGCTTTAGTTTCGTTCAAATGCTATACGATTTTACCAAACATTGTGCCAACCAAACAAAGGGAAAAGAACCGTGAAAAGATGAAGCGTTGGACGGCAGTGATGATTGACGAGGCTGTCACCGATGACAGGCTGCCAGTTAATGCAAACATCCCATTCACAATATTTTCCAACACATTATCACATGGCAGGGCAGCCGTCCCCGGGGAGAACGGTGTGGCAGCAGGATAAATAATGTGACAGTAATGCAGTGCAAACATCGGCCCCACAGGCCATTACTGGAAAGCTGTGTAGCCCAAGAGCTCACCATCTTAGGGATCCTGCGAACCGCAACACTCCATAAATAACCCAACAGTCAATGGTAATTGAATGCAGCAGGGATTCAAATTGCTTTATTAGATGTTTGAAGGCTAGATAGAGACAGAAACTAACTGAGGGTGGAGTACTATCCATGTGACGCTCATATGTGGCTGAGACAATGATAGCAACTCCAATGAAAAAGTTCAATATTGGCTTGGAACAAACATATTTTTATGACTCCATCAGTTCCATACAAATTAAATGACCCTTTGGCAGCAAGCTTTTGTTTAAGAAAGTAAACCAGAAATAGTCCTTGTGCCTTTGATATAAAGATTGTGAATATTCTCCATCCAAAAGTTCCAGAAATATACCGTCTATCTTATCTTGTTGTACTGAAGCATTCCTAATCAGAAAAAAAAAAAACACAGAACACTCCAATATGCCTATTAGACTATAAGCTGGACAAAATACTGGGAGAGGGAAAAGGGAGCTCTCTGCAGAGTAAAAACAAAACAGGATTCTTTTCTTTATTTAAAGGGTTTACAGTACCGTGGTTTCACAATGTGTGACCTTTTTTCCCCGTCAACCTCAGTCCCACACTTGGTTTTTTCCCTCTATTTTCATAGCGTGGCACTTAACCTACATTGTACCACTGCCGTGCTACAATGTGGCTGGTTTTAATTAAGAACACTTGTTTGCTACCAAGATGGCTGAGTGATGATGTAATGACACTAATCTAGATATGCTTTCTCCAAACAAGCTGCAGAGCTGAATGCCTCGGCGGTGACATCTGAGCAGGTAGAGGATGGGAAACGTTTCCAAATCAGAAATTCATCCCAAAGTTGTTGTTTTTTTTGTGACGCAAACCAATATTTAGCTGTGGGCTACAAGTAAGAGACCAGCCCCGCAGTCAGAAGTTCCGATCCAGTTTAGACGCTCTTTCCAAAACAGGGACAGTAAATGGCTGGACCGTGGTGTCATGTTATAATGCCAAACGGAAAACGATTGACGAGCAAAGAGATCGTTCTCAGAGGGTTGGTTTAAGAAAAAAATAATCCGGATACCGTGCGCGCAAAAGAAGCCAAGAAACACACAACGCCAGAAAAAAAAAAAACGAGGAGATGGCATGCTGCATGGCTACTATGAGCAACAACACACACACACACACGCCAACTCACCGTCCTGCGTGTCGTTCCCGCGGCTGCAGTTGCTGCAAATGTGCTTTATTTCTTTCCCGATCTGACAGTGGATGGTGAAAGGCATGTTGTTGTTGTGGTGGTGGTGGTGGTGCGGGTGCTGGACGTGCGCCTTCTTGTTGCTCAGGGACATGATCTTGACCAGGCTGAACGCCTTTTTCTTGGGTTTCTCCACGGCCACGGGCGTGTTTTCTCTGCAGCCCGTGGTGAGCCAGGCACCGTGCATGATGGTGTGCGCGGGATCCACCGCCGGGTAATTGACCGTCCTGAACATTTGGGGGGGGGGGGGGACGCGCAAAAGATTGTGCGATCGCAGTTTTATACTAAAGGGGCCATGGGTTCAGCCCCCCTGTCTTAACTCTACGGCCAGATTATCGAACCCAAACCGATCCCTCCACTCTCCCCTTTACCTGAGAGCCTAAGATGTGCAGTGTGCTCGGTTGCGCAATGCAAAAGTCGCAACCGCAGAAAAAAAAAGAAAGAAAAAAAAGCCGAGCCGCAAGATCCAGGAGAGCTAATAATATGTTAGACGCTGAGTGGAGGTTGGCAGTGACTGTCTTTTTCGTCCGAGAGCGGCGGACTGCAGTCGGTTGTGGCTAATACACGATTAGTGGAACTGAGTGCGAGTGGCTGTGATTGGCTGCGCCGTGCGCTCTTCTAATAGGTTAACGTGGACCGAGGAAAAGTTGCTTCTCCCTCTACAGATTCCCCTGCTGTCAAATGCACCATAAAAACTGTCCTTCCCTGGTCTGCATATTCCAGTTTTACAGATTGCTTTTTCGACATTCTTAACACGTACTGATTGTTGTTTAATCCGATTTCACTCTGATATTAAATCAATCACATGTGAAAGCACCGAGTGGACGAATGAGGACGCAAAGGGGGAAAAAACAAACCCTAAAGGAGTCTGATGAGCTGCTAAAACTCAGTAAAAAATCAAAATATCAAAAACATCTCAGGAGTATGGACAACTTTCCTAAAAAGCAAATCCACTGAAATAGAAATAGACACACAAATCATTCTACAAAGCACGTCACACAAAAATGTTCTGCTTGTTCAGTTTAGTTAATTAAATGTGTTTTCTGTTTTGTTATCCTTGTTGCCGTTTGCATCTCAGGGTGAATACAACAATAATGCCAAAAACATGATGCTACTGAAAAAAATCTGAGATGTTTTCTTCGTTATTTCCAAACACATGACCTAATTCCAGAACATCCCTGGCCTTTGGCGATAGAGCAAAAATAAGGAAGCCTAAAGAAAATCTCGAATAGGTGCAGAGTACCAGTGATTATCTTCGTTGTGCTCTTTTGGAGTGTAGTTTGTGAGATGCATAAGACAGTGTAAGATCATTCCTTGAGATGTTTACTAATGACAGATCTGTGCTGAACATTTTGCAGCTTCCTCATGTCAGACATCAAAAGCAACGAAAGCATTTCAGACAATCACCCCCTGCTAATGCCCATCTACTCACTGTATGCTTCTGAAAACAAAAAGTATTCTAAGTAATGCACATCTGGAAAATAAAGTAACTCAGTTTTTGTCTCTCGGTATGTTAATCACCGTTAACCATAACAGTCAAATTTGAGTAGAAATGCCTCACTTGTCATATCAGATTGAACCGATCCTCCTAAACGACCTTTTTTTCATATCAAGAAAGATGGTGTTAACTTTTTGAATGACAAAATTGAACAACTATTGAAATATTCGGAATTCACAAAAGCCTCCACACTTACGGATCCGCAATCCGCAAAAAAGAGGGCATTCAGAAGTCAAATATAAGTGGTACTATACCACTGAAGCACAGAGAATAAGAATAACAAAGGCAAGCCAAAAAAAGGATTTAACTTTGTGATAAGTTGGCACATGGCTAACAATGAAATAGCTCAGCCTAAAACCTGCATTAAGTATTTAGTCTTTATTTCACAAATTCCAAATAGCAACTCCGTTTTATCCCTAAAGTTACTGTGCACATTTTGCTGTAATTGCTAATATTAATGGCCAGTTAATTAGCTGTAAATCATGGAAAAGATAAAGGACTCCAGGGCTTTTCCTGAATTTCCTGCAGAGCTGTGACTGATTGTGGACTTAGGGCTGTTGAGGCAGGGGTATCTTTGATGTTCCTTCAATGTGCTTCAGCTTATTCCAATGGCATCAAAGCCCTTTCTGAAATGAGGTACAGAGGCACAGATTTACTCCCACCACGGTGCAATGCAGTACTTGCCCTCAGTCCCTCAGTTGCCTACTTTTTGCTGCAGAGTTTCACTCAGCGTGTTTCCCATACATGAATTAAAGTTTAACAAACTGTGAACAAATTGTCTTGTATATAATCTCATTTTAATTTTTTTTTTTTTATAGTACAGGAGCAGGAAGAAGAAAGTCCTGGGATCTTTTGGTGTCATTCTCCCATTTTGAGAGGTCATGGTCCTGAGGGCTCCGATTTCCACAGAAACTAGTTTGCTTTAATTTCTCACATCTTTTCATCTTCCTTTTTTTTCTAAGCCTCTCATTTTCCTATTGCTTTGTCTTCGGATGAATACATCTATTACCAGTGCCTCCTTACTGAGTTTGTCAACCACAAGGTCCAGCTGGTTAACCGGCAATTTATCAGTCTGGATCTGAGAATCCCAGAGGCTCTTGGCTCAGTAATTCTACACCACCTGTGGATATATCTGTCACAAGGGAATTTTTAAACCTTTACTCAGCACAGATGGATCTGTATACTGCTCTAGCAAGTTGGTAATGGCGTTCCTTGTAGAACTAGTTGCTCCTTACAAGGCCCTGGGCTTATGCTGTCACGATTAGTGCCTCCATGCTGTCTTTCAGTGCAGCCTTTTCTTGGAGCTGATTGGATTTCTTGATATCAGCAACCTAATCAATCTGCCTGTGATACATGGCATGCGGGGGGCTTATCCTGCCTTGATGGTCTCTCCTCTTTCTGCCATTTGCTGGGTTTCAGCTGCCTGAAGCACCCATTCAGCCGTGCATCACTTTGGGTCATACACAATGTCTTGAATAATCTTTTTATCATCTCTAATGCTCACTCGCCTTCATCCTCTCTCTTTGTACTTAATGTACAGTCTTCGGGTTCTGGACTCATAGTGAAACCCTCTGTTGTGAGGAGCTTTCATGTCTTGATATCAGGAAGTCCGGTCTTCTCCCGTAGACATATTATCATATTAGAGGAGTATCTGGTGAATGACTCACTTACAAGCTCTTCATTGGTGCCATTTGCCCCTGGAGCCCAACCGTGCCCCAAACAGCTATCCCAGGCAGACGTTGCATCCTGGTACTTCCATCCCCTCAGCTGTTAACCATGACATATATCATTCTGCTACATTTAACTACTCCAAATTACATTCTGGCTTCTTTGTTGAATATCCTGGTGAGGTGGATCGATTAGTCAATACCTGACTCACTCCCGACACACAGCTTGATTTCATCTGTGGAGAAGGTGGCAGATTATTGCTTCTCTTAAGAACCAGTGCTTACTCTTTTTTGTGGGCCTTCCACTTGTACCTGCTCAGAGCAGTGCGACTCAGCTCTACACATTGTTTTTTTGCTTCTTAATTGGAGACTGGCACCTCCTGACAATGATAATTTTAGAACCTACCCATCCGGGGGTTCCGAGCATGCTGAGTAGGGCACTGATTTGCCAGGGAGTCACACAATTTGATAGTAAATCCCTCATGTGTACCCCACCTATGTTTTAAAAACAAAGCAACAGGAAGAATTAAATTCCAAAGGGGAACATCGCATGATGTGAGACGGCGTTTGCATCGAGATGCTTTTTCTTTACATGGGACGATTTTAACCGTTTTTTTTTTTAAAGTCTAATGTTAATATATTCAAAGAACATTTCTTGTAGGAACCTATATACATTCAAATCAGCCATGGTTGCTGTTCACAGTTGCTGGAAGTTTCTTTATCTAGATGTAGTTTAAGCAAAGCCTGTTAACGGTCTTAAATGCTGTCTGAAATATCAAAAGAGATTCTACTGGTATGTAGCTTCCAGAAATTCTAAGAATTCAAACACAGAGGAAAATATATCCTGCTGCATCTGACAGTCACATCAGGCGGAAGGACGTAATTCTTCTGCGCCAGTTGCGTCATAAAGAGGAGACGGCGAGCGCTGTAAACAAAGTATAAGTAGAGCAGGAAAGCGGTTCGGAGACCACGCGAAACACGGTGTGTGAACAGCTTGCTGTGAAACACTCTTACCGCACAGTGTGTGAAGAGAAAATGGAGCAAAAAACTGCAAATGTGTTCCAACGGAAACACATTTGAAGCACCCTTCCCCAGTCAAGCCGAGTCCGACAGAGACAGGGAAAAGTGTCCATTAAATCGACCGAGCAACTCCCGGTTTGGGAGGTGTTTCGGAGCCTCTAATAGTCAGTCTTAAGCATCATTACGACACTATTTGTGACACTATGTCAACGCTGAGAATGAGCTTCACTGGAAAATAAGCATCCACTGGTCTGTCCATCTACGTGTTAACAACACAGTCAACACTTTAACGTCACAATACCAGTCAACGTATTAGTGTCGTAAAAGCGCCGATTGTTACAGGATTTATTGTGATGAGGAAAAGGCCGTTGTATGATGCAGGTGCCTCCTCTGCATCCTTTGAAGTAATCAGTTGTGTTTTTGGTGACACTGACACTGAATTTCCCATTTTAACTGGCAAACCTCCCCAACACAAATGGACTGGGCAGGATTATGCTTCTTTTTCATGGTGGAAACATAAACACGGAGAGAAAGCACTCCAGGAACATGTGCCGGTCCTCTCTGACTCACATCTGATTGATTTACTGGGTCAGAGTGTTGCTTCCATTAACCTTCAGAAAATTGTAGTCCTTTTGTAGGAAAGCGACAAGCCTGGACTCCATAGTCTACTCTGAAACATCTTTAAAAGAAACCGAAACCGACAGCATCTGCTGTGGCAGTTATCTAATGTTTTGGATTTGAGCTGGTTTCCATGGCTCTGGAGCAAGGATTTGCAAAACAAATCGTACAATTTCCGACTGAGCAGCCTGTCGCTACAAATCAGCTGCTCCCATTCTTCTTGTAGCTCTTTGTCTCTTCCCATCTGTCACACTCTCTCTGCATCATTAGCTGTCTTACTTGATCAAAGTAAGATGGTGCCACACGTCCTTGACACAATGTGGAAGATGATCAGTGTTGGGAAAAGACACAGTTTTTCCTACTGCCAAAGACGGCTCATATCTGAGGATGATTTCTTACAACCTTTCATGAGGTTATTTAGGCCACCTTCAGCTTTGTTTGCTTCTGACCTCAGATTAAAACGCCTGTGATGGACTTGAAGGGAAATGATGCATGACATGAGAAACAGCTTAAAAAGAAGCCAATGTAGCTGTTTCCCCCCCCATCTATTTTACAGAAGCGATCTGTGCTGTATATTATCCCATCTTAGTCACTTAATAATATTCAGCTCAGCCACAGAAACCAAAATGATGCTTTTTGGTTTGGTACATTATGTTCCCTCTCATTTGTGAATTTCTGGAAAAAGGCACTATTGATAAATGAGATTACAAAGTTAAAGACAGCTGCTTCCGTTGTTTTGTAGAGAGAAATGAT